TGCTTAATCACAAGCTTCCCCATTTTGCCAGCTCCAATAACTAGCATTCTTGCATTTCCATGTGAGGCTTGATCAGGTAACTTCATCACTGCCAACTCGACCGCAGCCGAGCTCACAGAAACTGCTCCGGCCGAAATGTTGGTTTCGGTTCGGACTCTTTTGCCGACGGTGATTGCGTGCTTGAATAATCCACTGATGTTTCTTCCAAATCCATTAACTCCTTGTCCTGCTTTCACAACTTGCTTGACTTGTGCAAGGATCTGACCTTCTCCCATTACAAGAGAATCAAGTCCTGCTGATACTTCAAAAAGGTGTTGGGTTGCATCTTTGTTGTATAGCAGAAATAGATACTGTGAAAGCTCTGATGCAGGTATGCCACTTGTCTGCAAAACAAGATTATCCAATATGTATCAATGCACTAGAATATAAAAACAACTAAGAATGTGTTTGCATAAACAACTTAATTAACTACTTATCTCACACAAGTCCTACTCCCTAGCTATGTATATGGTAAATAGTTTTGTTTAGAAATATGGTTGAACTAACTCATTCCTACAAAACCAGTTTATTGAGTGATGATTGATCCCACTTATAAACACATGATCAAATCATATATTAACGGACGTGTGACTCTTAACACATCCTCTCATGTATAGGACTGGACATCTGGAGTGTGAAAATAAATGGTTGATAGTCCGATAATGGAAATCTAAAAGCAAGTGGCTAGTGAAAATAAATGATGGATGGTCCAATAAAGAAAGTTTGACGGCAGGTGGTCCATTGGATTTCAAATCAGACTCTTGATGTCATGTTAAGAAATGTAGTTGGGTTGGGTTAAACTCATCCTACAAAACCAGCTTCTAGGATGAGAATTATCTTCACTTATAAGCAACGTTCATGCTATATGACTCTTAAAAATTTTCATACACTCACCAAAATAGTCTTACAAATGTTTATATCAATACATAAACTCAAATAAATCTATCTAAATATATCTATTGACATAGCCGTCTCAAATTTTTGAAAGCTTTGTGTTGGTTAGTTGAAGTTTAACTATGACAAAACAAGTAAAAGTTTTGTTTAATCATGATAATATTTTATGAAACCTTTTTTAACCATGGTTTTAGTGTGACAAATTTTGGGCTTTTGGGTTATGCGCAATATCCCGACTTATACACCCTCAAAGACGGTTCTTTTTATTGGCATTTTATTTTCATAAGAAGTGCTTATAGATAAACAAGTGATGATAGAACCTACACTTGACATCCATTCAGTGACTTCTTTGATACCACGATGCTGAGAAAGTGCAACAACATAAATCTCCATTATGTTACACGTACTAAGAACATCTGCGTCTTCAATATGATTCAAACCACAAAGCTCACCAATGGCTCTTGGCCATTCAGCTTCTGGTATAGCAAGTTTCTCACGCAACTCCACCGGTGTAGTATGCACACTCAGCCCAATCACCACAAGGCTGCTATTTTCCTTCGTATATCCTGCTCAAACTCAAGTTCATCATAAAGTCAAAATCAAATTCATAATCTCATATGGATCATAAAGTCAAAATCAAATTCATAATCTCATATGCTATATGACTCTTAAATACATAATTTGGTTGTTAGAACCAATTTTTAACTAGTTATATATGTTACTTGTTAGGAAATATGGATTGAAAATGGATGTTTGCCAATCGAGCGTCAAAAGAATATGAAGATGGAGTTCGTGAGTTCGTTAGGTTTGTTATTGCTCATGCTGAAGACACTAGTAAAATCATATGCCCTTGCTTAGAATGTTGTTATACGGATGTTAGTGCAAAGGTTTTGGAAGATCACTTAATATGTAATGGAATTGATAAAAGCTACACATGCTGGATAATGCACGGGGAAAAAAAACCAAGTCCACAAAAAGGAGCAATGGGAGAGATTCATCAAATGATTTTGAAAAAGATACGAATTATGCGTTTGATCAAGTTGAAGAATTTGTCAATGTAATTGAGGAAGATCTTCGTGATTGTCCTCAAATGTTTGAGCGGATAGTAAGTGATGCAGAGACTCCGTTGTATGATGGATGTACTAAATTCACAAGACTGTCAACGGTCTTAAAGTTGTATAACTTAAAAGCACGCCATGGATGGTCCGATAGGAGCTTCACAGACTTGTTGACTCTGTTAAAGGATATTTTGCCTGAGAACAACGTGCTCCCTAGTCGAACGTATGAGTCTAAACAATTGTTATGTTCTATTGGCATGAGTTACGAGAAGATACATGCTTGTCCAAATGATTGCATTTTATTTCGCAAGGAGTATGCATCGTTGAATATGTGTCCTAAATGTAGTGCCCCACGCTATAAGAAGAAAGAAACAGCTCCAGCCAAAACGCTATGGTATTTTCCGATAATACCAAGATTTAGGCGCATGTATCATAATGCAGAAGACGCAAAGAACTTAACATGGCATGCAAATGAAAGGGTTGTTTATGGAATGCTCCGACATCCCGCAGATTCTCCTCAATGGGCAAAAATTGATCATGATTACCCAAATTTTGGGAAGGAAGAAAGAAACCTACGTCTTGCATTGTCTACTGACGGAATAAATCCTCATGGTATTCAAAGTAGTAAACTTACTTCTTGGCCAGTCATTTTGTTGATTTATAACCTACCTCCATGGCTATGTATGAAGCGCAAATACACGATGTTGAGTATGTTAATTTCTGGGCCCAAGCAACCAGGAAATGATATAGATGTATACTTGGCTCCATTAATTGAAGATTTAAAGCATATGTGGGAGACAGGTGTGGAGGTATATGATGAGTATAAAAAAGAATCCTTCAACTTGAGGGCTATGTTATTTGGAACAATCAATGATTTTCCTGCCTATGGGAATCTATCAGGCTACAGTGTCAAAGGAAAATTTGCATGCCCCATATGTGAAGATGGTACACATTCAATACGATTGGAGTATTGTATGAAGAATGTATTTCTTGGACACCGTAGATTTTTAAATACCAACCATCATTTTCGAAAATGGAGAAAAGCTTTTAATGGTGAATCAGAAGAAAATAGAGCTCCTTTGGCTTTGACGGGTGATCAATTATACCAAAAGGTAAAGCTTTTGAGCACTAACTTTGGAAAGCCATTTTCAAGTGAACTTGTAAAGGGAGGATGGAAAAAAAAAGTCAATTTTCTTTGAATTGCCGTATTGGAAGTCATTGTATGTTAGACATTTCCTTGATGTGATGCATATAGAAAAAAATGTGTTTGAAAGTGTCGTTGGTACATTACTCAATCTTCCAGGAAAGTCTAAGGATGGCATTAATGCAAGGTTAGACCTGCAAAGTATGGGATTAAGAAATGAGTTACAGCCGGTTAAGAGGGATGGGAAGCGTACATTTCTACCTCCAGCAGCTCATACTCTGTCAAGAAAAGAGAAAAAGATCTTGTGTAAGGTTCTTCACAATGTTAAAGTTCCAGAGGGCTACTCATCAAACATTAAGAGTTTGGTATCTATGAAAGATCTCAAATTGAAGGGTTTAAAGTCTCACGATTGTCATGTTTTAATGGAGAACTTTCTTCCAGTGGCTATACGTTCCATTTTACCTGAAAATGTGCGATGGACCATAACTAAACTTTGTTTTTTCTTCAAAGCTATTTGTAGCAAAGTTATTGACCCTGAGAAGTTACCGACGTTACAAAAGGAAATTGTTGTCACATTATGTGAGCTTGAGATGTATTTTCCACCCTCATTTTTTGACATAATGGTTCATCTTACAGTCCATCTTATAATGGAAACACAATATTGTGGACCAGCTTATATGAGGTGGATGTACCCGATTGAGCGTTACATGAAGATAATAAAAGGGTACGTGAAGAATCGAAGTCGACCAGATGGTTGTATTGTTGAACGATATTTAGTTGAAGAAGCCATTGAGTTTTGTACTGAATACCTCTCTAATATTGAGCCCATAGGGATTCCAATGTCACGACACTCTGGAAAAACAACAGGGGAAGGGATTGGTGCAAGTAAACTAGTAACCATGTCAGACATCGAATTGGAGCAATCACACTTGTATGTTCTACACAATGCTGATGAGGTTGAGCCATATGTTGAAAAGCACAAAGAAATACTTCAAAGTTTGAACCCTAATAAGAGTGAAAATTGGTTAACAAGAGAACACAATCGAAGTTTTATACCGTGGCTAAAAGAACACATTTTTTCAGAATTTGCTAAAAATCCTGATTCAATTTCAGAAAGATTGAGATGGCTAGCAAATGGTCCAAATTCAAATGTTCTATCGTACTCTGGTTATATAATTAACAAGTATACATTTTATACAGAAGAACATGATCATCAAAGCACTGTGCAAAATAGCGGTGTCACACTCGTAGCTGAATCTGTGCATATCTCAAGTTCCAAAAATAGAAATCCCGCATTTTCCAAATTGTCATATTTTGGGGTCATTGAACGTATTTGGGAATTGGATTACTCATGCTTTCAAGTGCCCGTGTTTGGTTGCAAGTGGGTTGACAATAACAATGGCCTTCAAGTTGACCCTGGGTTCATGAAGGTCGATCTTAATAAAGTAGGGTATAAAGACGAGCCTTTTATTTTAGCATCACAAGCTCACCAAGTGTTCTATGTCACTGATCCTGCTGATGAAAAGTGGTATATTGTGTTTCTAAGTAACAAAATAAATGATCACACCACTCCAAATATAGATGTTAAGGATGACCCTTTCTTTAATACTTCACAATCCCTTGAGTCTGAATCAATTATAGATGATATTATTTATATGAGAAACGATCACAGTGATGGGATTTGGATCAATCCATCATTTTATGTAACTAGAAAACAGAAAAGTAGGAATCCAACTACAAGGAAGAGGAAAAGGCCGACTTAATCTTGTATGGATTATTTATTTGTTTTTCATTTTTTTATTGTTATTGCTTCTTAATGTTATTCTTGTATGGTATATAACTTTTTAAATTTTTATAGGTGAAATATGGCTTCTATTGATGATGAAAGTGGTTCGTCTAGTAAGAAAACAGTTGGTAAACGTGGTGTGACCCGATTGCAAAAAATTCACAAAGCCAAAAGCAATGGAAAGAGAATTGAGGTAAAATAACTAGAGTTTTATGATACTGTTTACTCTCTTGGCAATTTTCCTTTTACTGAACTATGTATGAGTGATGGTTACATACATGATTATCTTTTATGAGCTAGTTGTTTGAAACTATTTGAATGTTAAACACTATTAGTGATACTGTTGATTCTTTATTTGCACTTTAATTTTGTTATAGGTTCAATGGAATTCCAGAGGTCAACCAATCAAGCATAATAGCAAGACTTTTGCTAGTTTCATTGGTGTCACAGTTCGTCGGTTAGTTCCAATAAGCTTGGACAATTGGAGCGCGAAAAAAAATAAAGAGGCTGTGGGGGTTTATAAACAAAACATTTGGGATGAAATTGAAGTAACACACTAACTTAAGCTAGTTGTAAAATTTTAATTTTGTTAATCTATCCATTGGGATGTTTAAATAAACTGAACTATGTTTTAATAAACTGAATTATTTGCAGAAAGCTTTTATAATTGGCGAGGAACATCGTGCCTTTGTATATAGAGAAGCTGGAAAGTTGCACAGGGCATTCAGAACAAAAATGGCGAGGTCATATCTAAAAGATAGTAAGGGTGGTTTTGTTAAACATCGTCCGGCCAAATATTCTTTTTGTATAAAACAAGATGATTGGGATAAATTTGTAGCCCAACATATGACTGCAAAGTTTCAGGTAATACTTTTATCACTTGGATATGGATCCTTAAAGTTTTGCATGATTATAGTATTAGTGATAGTGTTGTGGGATGCATTTTTTATAATAAATGCAGAAAGTTAGTGATGAGAATCGAGAAAGAGCGTTAAATCCTCAACATCCCTATAGAAAGTCACGTTTAGGGTGTGCTCGTCTTGAAGCTGATATGGTAAGTATGTGTATAAATGTACTATACAATATTATAAAAAAATTTAATTGCTATGTTAATTTGTAAAAATGTATATACAGGTAGAAGAGTCAGAAGTTGGTGAGATAAACCGTAGTCAAGTGTGGAAGGCTGCCCGCGTCAATAAGAGCGGGGTGATTGATAATGAGAATGTTCAAAGAGTTGTGGATCAATGTGTAAGTCGAATTTTAGATGTGACACTATAGATGTTATTTCCAAAATGCTCACATTATAGATGTGACACTTTTTCTATACTCATCATTGTTACCGAATTTGTATTTTGTTAGTTAGTTTGAAGTCATTAAACTCGATTTTCCTTAATTAATTGAGTCTTTGTGTCTTATTTTGATAGAATAGCCATTAATTGCAACTTGTATCTAACTATTGGTTATTTCTTTTATACTTATCAATGTCAGGAGAAGTTAACAGAAGCTCTATCTGAAGAAGAGAGACAAGACCTTGGTCCCACAAACATATTATTTGAGGCTCTTAATCTCCCAAACTACTCTGGACGTGTTAGGACTTATGGTTTTGGGGTATGTTCTAGGGACATATTACCACGCCAAAATCGCCCCACACAAATGGATTTTGAAAAATTGTATGGCTTTTGTAATTCACTCAAAAGTAGATTGGAGGTGCTAGAGAGAGAAAAGATTGAGAGAGATAAGTTGGATAGAGAGAAGCTAGAGAGGCAACAAACTGAAGAAGTGGAAGAAAGGCAACAACCTAAACAAGTGTCAGAGAGGTTGTAACAACCTGAAAAAGTGGCACAGAGGCAACACCTTGAACAAGTGGTAGAAAGGAAACAACCAGAAAAAGTAGCTGAGAGTCGACTACCTAGTGATAAAGGTTCTTGCAACCCTGGATCATTTGGCAACATTCCCGAGGTAATTGGTTTCTTTATTATCTCTCATATTCGATATGTTTGTTCTTTCAATAATGATGTTAATCTTTTTATTCATATCTTATTGGTTTAGGGTCTCTTTCCTGTTAATATATATTTATCCTCCCCGAGTCGTTGTTTGGTTGCTCGTGGAAAACTATATAACACCAAAGGTAACACGGTACATGGCATGACGTTACCACCTGGATATGTCAAGGTTAATATCGAAGTTGCTATTGTGCCAAATGCCCCATTGCCTATATCTGTTGAAGATGGAGATGTATCCATGGTTGGTCAAGCAATAGGAACAATTGTGCCATGGCCAACGAAACTTCTTGAATTTGTTGCTGAATGTGAAAAGGTAAATTACTTATAATCAAGTTGCTTGATCGCTACTTGTTTTATTATTTGATCACTAATATTAATTAATACAACTTTTTAGATTCCTGGTCAATCCCAAAACAAAGGTAACAATATTCAACACAGTGTTGAATATTCAGTTTCATCACCCAACAAAAGTAACAAAAAATTCAAAATCGAAGAGTCTCCTAGAGTTGGCGGTTCAGCTGGTATTGCAAATTTACCTTTCCTTGATATGTATGTGAAAAAGATGATGAGGGTTGGATCATTAATTCAAATAAAAATGGAGGAAAGTATATTTGGTGAGGAGTTTTTAGAGCAACTACGTGTAAAGAGTATAAAGGAGATTCTTGATCACAATTGGTTAAGTGCATCTATTATCACTGTATTTTCCAGGTACCTCTATTATTACAAATATTCTCTTATTTGACAAATATATTATTAATATTAATGTTATTTGTATTGTTGACTAATATTCACATTGGTGACAAATATATTAATATCAATTGTTGTTCATTTCTAGGTATTTGTATGACAAGTTTATTAGTCCAAATGGATTAATAAATAAGTTCTCTTTCATATCTCCACATGTATCACGGGAGGATAATCTAGGAAATGGTATAGCAAAAATACTTTTGAAAGATGAGGAGTTCAAGGATAAGATGATTCTTTCACCTTGTAATCTAGGGTGAGATTTATATTCAAAAAGTTATTAAATTAACGAGAAAAAACTCTAATGAATGTGAATCTTTAATGCAATATTTAAATGTTGGGTGCAGGAAACATTGGGTGTTGCTTGTCATCAATCTCAATGCTGAGGTGATATATTACATGGATCCGTTGAATGGTGAGCCAACAAAACATCAAAATTTTAAAACAAAGTTTGAGAAGTGAGTATAGACTCTTTTAATTTAAAATTTATGTACGTATTATTATTTATATAATTACTCCTAATAGTAGTTCTAAAGTGCCTAAAGTGTCAAAGTCAAAGAAAATCTCATGGCAAAAAATAAAGGTATGTGTCTAAATTAATGTTATTTTAAAACAATTATGTGGAGTAAAATTAATCGATATAAATTTTTTTTTGTAGTGTCCTCGTCAAATTAATGGCGTTGATTGTGGATACTTTGTAATGCGATTTATGAAAGAGGTCATCATGGAAAATGAATTTATGATCCCCACAAATGTACGTGATTTTAATTATTATTATTATTCTTTTGTAAATTAAATTAATATAATTTAATTCTAACACGATTAATTGTTGATGTTTTCATATTTGAAGTACTTTTTTGACCACAAATGTCGTACCTACTCTCATGATAAGTTAACTGAGGTTAAGGAGGATTGAGCTACTTATGTGGTGGATGATGTTTTCGGTGAGTTTTTCCTTGACTTGATACTTGATAAACAAGACAAATATTACTCATGGATTTAGAGTTCAAATGTTTTGACTTAGATGTTTAATTTTAATTTTTGAGTTGGATTTAGAGTTGTCGTATAAATGATTTTAGTATTTTGTTGGTTTAGAAGATATGGCACAGAGGTACTGAGTGTTCTTTCTTGGTCTCGAATTTAAATTTTGAAATAGGAAAATACGGAAAAATGACTTATATCTTATTGTATGATTGATTTATAGTTTTCCGTTTCTACTTGAAATTTTTAGATATTCGTAGTAACAATTGTAAGGTGTTTGATATCTAGTTCTGGATCATGAAAAGAAAGTTACACACAATTACGTGTTTATGTATATTTTGAGAATTTGAATTATATTCTGTTTAGTGTTTATATGCATCTAATAATGGAAATTGTGGTCTATATATTTACAAGTCATGTTCTTGTTAGACTTAATGAGTTCAATTATTGCATTAGTTATATCGATTTATTGTTATTAGTTTATAATAATCATTCCTTATTTTATGCGCTTCTTGTTAGACCCATATTAAATGTTTGATTATTCTTTATATGTTGAATTAGTTTTTATTGTACAATACATAATCAATATTCCTTCTATGATACAGGAAAACAAGAAGCAATTATTTTGCCTAATTAGTGATTGTATCTATGAGTTCAACGCTTTTGGATCATGAAGGTGGTTACTACATGGGATTGTTTTGTTATCCTTTCTTATTTTTTTGGTGTTTTGTTTAGAGAATTTGATTGTATGTTTTTGGATTTGGATTGAAGTACTCATAGATGGGCATCTACAAATTTGGCTATGCAAATGCCCTCTTAATATTCTATATGTTATGATATTTGGAAACAATAGGATTTGGTAATTTAAAATGTTATTTGGTATTTGATGGATCATAATATATATGCAATGAGTAACTTAAAGCGTTATTTGTGTTGAATTGAATATAGTTATTTTATATTTACACCAAAAAAAAATGATTGTGTAAGAAAAAATATTGTACTGTACTTATTAAAAATATTGTACCAAATATGTACCATTTATTAGCACTTTATTTGAAAGCGCTATCAAACATATGTTATATATTAGCGCTTTTTGTTTAGAGTGCTATAAAAAAACAAACAAAAAACATGCAAAATACTGACTTTGATAGCACTTTAATTAAAACGCTATTATAAATTGGTACTTTAATAGCGCTTTTAAAGTGCTATTAAATAAGAAATATTTACAATAGTGGCGCGGTTAATAGCACTTTTAAGCGCTATCAAAAACAAAAAATACAATAGTGGCGCGGTTAATAGCACTTTTAAGCGCTATCAAAAACAAAAAAAAGCGCTATTAAATAGCTTATTTGGCGTAGTGAATGCATAAAAACTAGAATAGACAAACTAATATAATAGGTAATATAAATAGATTTTGTACCACACACAAGAAAACATGTTATTGTGCTTTACAGCATAATCTTTAAAATCATTTTCATGTCAGAATGACAGTTATGTAAACAGTATGCATCGTAAATTTTAGATACGAAAAACTATCATCATGTATAATGATGAAACATGTATGTTTATTTCTTCGTTAACATTCTAACCATAAATTAATCACAAATTAAAAGTCATAAATTAAAATTTCAAAATTTTAAAATTTATATAAATTAATTGTGTACCTTTTACCTTTATCGAAAATTGTAATAATTTTCTTTAAGGTTGTATACTTTAATATTAATTAAAAATAAAGTATGAATTAAAATCGATGTTCGAACCTAACGATTTTTAGATTTTGTGTTGGGAATCTGCTTGTACAATGAAAGTTGCACAAAATAATTTATAAACCTTATGTTTACACTAAGTTTTAAATTCGATTCACCCCCACCAATTTAGACAAATTGGATGCAAATGGTTAACCGACGAATCCCCTTCAAAATATTTTGAAAACCTTAATATAAATCGCAAATTCACATTAAGCATATCGATTAATGATATTTTATCAAATAAAGTTTCCTCAATTATTCTCGTGCACTAGAAAAATAAAGAAATGACTTAGATATCATTTTTGGTACTTGAAACATAGTTAATTTCATAACTTTTTAATGTTTAACAAATATTTCTATTTATAGAAAAAATAATGTTTCAATTGTTTTAAAATGATGATTCAGGAACAATCATATATCCATAACGGTTAACACTAACAACAACTAGTGCGCTGGTTTGTTGGTTGGACGCTAATATTATCATTAACATTTTAACTATTACACCATTGTTTTTCTTTATGACTTCTTTGTCAATATATATTTAAATTTATATTTAAAATATTTTGGAATTTCTCAAACAAATATTAAATCACTACTATTAAAATAATATATGTACATGTCATCCTATGAGTTAATCTAAAACTAATTATATTTCTAACTCTTTAAATATAAAAATAGAAATTAACACCAATTTAATTTCTATTTTTTTAAAATTGTCAGCTAATAATAATAATAATAATAATAATAGTGTAATATTTAACTATTAGTATATCTTATGTGTAATATCAAAAATATTTCTATCATTAAATTATAAAATTATAATTAATAGGATATATTAATAATAACAATATAATAGTAAAAAAATATTTTTAATTTTTTTTAAATATTAAAATAATTTTTCTTAATAATAATAAGAATAAAAATAAAAATAATACAATTATATCTCTATATTTTATATAATATAATATTTTATACTATTCAATATGTAACTAAAAAAAATTCTACTTTAAAACACATCTATTTGAAATTTTGTTCATTCATACCATTGAACCCAGAACATCACCCTTTATTCCACAAATATGTATTCTCTTTCTCTTCATAATGCGTTTCAATTTCAATGTTAATGTTCCACCATTTTTTTTTCATTATTACATTTTCAATTTTAATACTACACAATTACTTATTTTCATTATTATATTTTCAATTTTTATATTCTACTTTTTCATATTCTCACATTATTGCATCTGTTTTCAACTAAATATAATTCAAATATAATTGTGGGTCTGCATCCAGCCACCTTATGTGATATTCCTCCAAATTTCATTGTGCATATAGTTTATAGATTTTCTATTTTACATTTTTATATATTATGTTTCAACCATATCTCAAACAATTTTTAATTGACTATTTATGGTCAACTAGATATCCTATTGTTGACTACGACTTTCTCACTGTTGTCACACATACTTACTTATATATTGAAAGTCATTTTTCAGCAATTTCTCTTCGAATTGCTACACTTTCAATGACATCCTTCCATCAATCTAAATCTAAAGAATATTATGTACTATAAGCAAATAGCAAACAAAATCAGTTTTTGTGATACATGAATGCCTAAACAAATTAGAAAAAATAAATATCTGGAAATTTTATTTAAAAAAATTGTCAATAATATCCATTTATCAGGTATTATATTTTTTAAATGGAGTTCATATATCATTTAGAAAATCTTTTTTTTTCTTTTTGCTCTATAGATGTTGATTTGCTATATTAATGTATGTTTAACAACTTTCTTTACTAAACTAAGTTTGATTTACTGTTAACACATTATATATAATTATCTATATTGATTTTCTAAATACAAATTACAAAAGTTTCATCACAATCGAAAAATCATTTCCTCCACTTATATTTATACAATGATGATACAATGTAACTAATATAAATGATAAATATATTATTCTTGTTAGCAATACTTATAGCTCATATTCATATTTTATTCAATTCGTTTAAATATTAACACTATAAGAAATTACATTAATAATTATTTATTTTTTTAACCAAAAAATGATATATTAATTTAAAAGGAAAACAAGACAACCAAGGTAATCTCTACAGATTCAGCCATCCAACTCTACAAAAATGCTAAATCAGTAATCTAGCAATATTAGGCCTAATCTTCTTATTATTATACTTTTTTCTTTAAAATTTAGTATAAATTCCATATCATTAAATTTAATATATATATATATGTGTGTGTGTGTGTGTGTGTGTGTGTGTGTGTGTGTGTGTGTGTGTGTGTGTGTGTGTGTGTGTGTGTGTGTGTGTGTGTGTGTGTGTGTGTGTGTGTGTGTGTGTGTGTGTGTGTGTGTGTGTGTGTGTGTGTGTGTGTGTGTGTGTGTGTGTGTGTGTGTGTGTGTGTGTGTGTGTGTGTGTGTGTGTGTGTGTGTGTGTGTGTGTGTGTGTGTGTGTGTGTGTGTGTGTGTGTGTGTGTGTGTGTGTGTGTGTGTGTGTGTGTGTGTGTGTGTGTGTGTGTGTGTGTGTGTGTGTGTGTGTGTGTGTGTGTGTGTGTGTGTGTGTGTGTGTGTGTGTGTGTGTGTGTGTGTGTGTGTGTGTGTGTGTGTGTGTGTGTGTGTGTGTGTGTGTGTGTGTGTGTGTGTGTGTGTGTGTGTGTGTGTGTGTGTGTGTGTGTGTGTGTGTGTGTGTGTGTGTGTGTGTGTGTGTGTGTGTGTG